GGGATAGTGCACTCCAGACCACAGCAGGTGGGGGGAAGGAAAGAGAGCAAGGGGCTGAGAGACTTCTAGGTCCTAAAGAAGATCTGCTAGGGGTTCTGGAAGTGATTGTCCTCTTAGAGACCCTACGAGGTTGACATCCTACATGGTGACACTAACACCCTCTTTTTTCCTCCCAAGCGTGAAGGGCTACACAATCCACATGCAAGCCCTCCGTCCTTGTACTTACTGCAAGTAATAAGGCTGCAGAGGAAAGGGTGAGCCAGACTGTGAAGACCTCACCTGTCACCCTAGGGAATTTGTGGGTTTTTTTTTTTTTTGTCACTGAGGAGTTCTCTGGAGTCCTCACTGTGGAAGGAGCATGATGAGGCTGAAGCTGGACTGTCATGCAGCTCCAAAGCCTCAGCAGACTCCATGTGGATTCTGACACTGAGGTGGCCTTTATGACTGTCCCCAGGCCTTAAGTCACTCTTCTGTCCTGACCAATCAGTGGACATGGCTCCCCCAGGAAAGAGTCCTATCCTTCAGCTGATGGATCTTCCCCAGAGCAATTCCCTGGGCTGCCAGCAACTAGAGAAAGAACTGCCCAAGAATCTGGTGTCATGGCTCTGATGGGTGGCTTTGGAGAGGGGACACTCTGCCAGTTCTGTGCCCAATAGCCCCTGTCTCTTTCTATCTTAGGAAGTAGAGTCTGGTTTGTTTGGCCTAATAAAACACTCACTTCCCTAGAGTTCTTAGCAATGGAGGTGGGCCATGGGACCTACTCCCAGCCCGTGAGATGTCAGTAGGAATCTGGGTTCCTGGTGGCTTCGTGGAGCCACTGGAGAAAATGAAAGGCTTTATTTGCTGGAGCGCCTGCAGTCAGGTTTCTGTGGCATGCAACTAAACACAGTCCTGAAAGGCTCAGAGGCGTTATCATGCATCCTGTGTAAGAACATGGGCCTTCAAGTTAGGGGGACTCTGCTTGCACCCCAGCTCTGCTGCATGCCAGTTAGCTATGTGACACCTCACACAAGTCATCGTACCATGCTGCCCTTTTCCATGAAATAGGGACAGCAGGGTACTTGTCATAATGTGTTCATTAGCCTCACCCACTCGTCCCAGTTTGCCTGGGACTTTCTAGCTGTCAGCACTAAAATTTTTCACCCCAAACCCTCCCTTCCTTTTCTTTTCAATACTGGGGTGGGACCCAGGACCCCTTGTGTCAGGCAATCAGGCTCCCATTTGAGCCACGCCTCCAGCCCTTTTGTTTTGTATTTTGTTGAGATAGAGTTGCACTAACTTTGCCTGGGCTGGCCTTGAACTTGTTATCCTCTGCCTCTGCCACCCAAGCAGCTGGGATTTACAGGCATGGGCCGAGGCACTCATCTTGCCCCAGATACAAGACTGGACCTTGGAGAGGAAACGTTTATCGGATGCTGCCCCCTAGTGGTTGAGAATATCACATCACTGCAAAGGTAAGTTTTATGTCATTTTCTTAACGAGCCGGTTACATGCAGAGTTGAAATATTGCCCTCACCATAGGTTTAAATTTCTAACTGCTGTAACCCCATTATTACTTTACTAATTCATTGGTATTCATTAATACTAATTCACTGATGCTAGCAAATATGGCATCTGGTAGGACTACTGGGAAGGTCAGGTGAACAGTGGAGGTGAGGCCTTTCTTCTTGGAATCACAGACTTTTCCTTGGTGTCTCACTGCAAATGCACTTACAGCTCACTCGGGTCATGTCAACGGTAGACTTTGGGCTCTGACTCTGTCTTTGGAAAAAGGTCATCACCTCCACCCATGGCCAGTTTCCTCATTCGTACTGGAGGAGTAATGCTTTTCCCGGTGCTGTGATGACTCTGTGGAGCCCATGTTGGGAAGTAGGATGCTCAGTGGGCACCTTTACCACCATGCCATCAACAAGCTGGGCCCGAGGCCACCCTCTGCTGGGACTCTGCAGCTCCAAGAGGAGCCTGTCCACCCCTCAGTGATGCTTTTTCCTCATCAGGGCCAGACAGCTGTGAGCTGGCCTTGAGAGACCAGGAGGGCCTGGCCAGCCACTCTGATGAACTCAGCTGGTCTCTCCTTGGTGGCCTTGGGTATTGGGAGTGAGCTGATGTCTGTGCCAGTACTGTGTGAGTTGGAGCTGCTATGTGAAAGCCAGACATTTCCTGCTTTCTAGGCTTTTTTTTTTTTGGTGGTCCTGGGATTTGAACTCAGGGCCTTGTGCTTGCTGGGCAAGTGCTCTACCACTTGAGCCACATCTCTGCCCCTTTTGGTTTTAGTTTGTTTTTCAGATAGGATCTTGTGCTAATTTTGCTTGGGGAAGTTGTAGACTGTGATCCTTTTACCTCTACCTCCTGAGCAGCTGGGATTACAGGTGAGAACCACCATACCCAGCATTGCGGTTGTGTTTTAACACACTAGGGAACACCTGCCCTAGATGAATCTGTTTAGAGAGCTTCCTGATGATTCAGAGAAACAGGAAGCTTGAATTTCTGTCTTGACTATATCAGTCTTTTGAGTTCTGGAAAAATAAGTCACCTAAATCCTACAGAAATATCTAATTTTGCTGTATCTACAAAGGCCCTCAAATAAGCTTAGTAGTATACTTGACAGGTTATTATTAAAAATAATTACTATTATAATTAAGTTATTCAATTTTTTTTTGAGGCAGGGGCTTACTATGTAAACTAGGTTGGTCTGGCTGGCTTGAAACTTGCAATGGTCCTACGTCTGCCTCCTGAGTGCTGGGATTAGAGCTGTGCATTGCCATGCTGGGCTAAATTCTTTGATTCTGTTCAAAATGAAATTAGAGAAATACTCAGCCAGGCATGGTAGCACAAAGCTATAATCCCAGCACTCAGGAGGCTGAAGCAGGAGGCTAGCCTGGGCTGCATAATGAGACTCTGTCAGAGAGAGAGAGAGAGAGAGAGAGAGAGAGAGAGAGAGAGAGAGAGAGACAGAGAGAGAAACTCATGTTGATAAGTAGCTGCTCTGGAAAAAAGCCAACTGCTTAGCTGAGCGAGAAAATCAACATGACTGTTGGCCTCTGCCTTGCAATCTTGTCTTAGTACATTGGCTTTAAGCTTCAATTTCATGCATTTTAAGGAGCTTAAAATATGTCCAGTGTATCATGAAATACTATTCAGTGGCTATAAAAAGCTGTCTATCTAAATCTATGTGTCTCAACATGGAAGTATCTCCAAGACATGCCGTTAAGCAAGTTAAGGAGAAAAACTTCTAAGACAGGCTATCAAAGGAAGCAAGTGATTGCAGCATGTTTTTGGAATCAGCAAGTTCCAGAACAATACAGCTAAGACGATCTTGCTTCTATTCAGAAATGATACGCATTTCTGCCCCTGCATGGGAAATTTCTTAGAACATCTGTTCAGTGTCACTCCTAGAAGATGTGATATTGTGGAATATGTATTTGGCCTTCATCCCCATTTCCTCCTACATTCCTTGGGTCTCCAAAACCATGTGTCTTTTTTGCATACTTCCAGGAGTTGACTGGCGTCGGGCAGCCCCTAGGGAGCTCTAGGATGGGGCTGCTCGGTGGAGAGACAGAGACATGGTTAGAGGGCTGGGACTTTCAGCTCCACTGCCTGACCTCTGGAGAGGGGAGAGAGGCCGAAAGTTACACACATACCAACAACCGGTGACTTAATCCAGCATATCTATGCAAGGAAGTGTCCACAAGGTCACAAAAGAACAGGGCTTGGAGAGCTTCTGTAAAGCTGAACACACAGGTTCCCAGCATTACACTTGTTCTGTGCATCAATTTTCCTGTGTCCTTTGTAAATTCCTTTTTTTTTTTTTTTTGGTGGGACTGGGGTTTGAACTCAGGGCTTCACACTTGCAAAGCAGGTGCTCTACTGCTTGAGCCACACCTCCAGTCCATTTTGCTCTGGTTATTTTGAACATGGGGTTCAAGAACTATTTGCCTGGGCTGACCTTGAACTGCAATTCATTGGATCTCAGCCTCTCAAGTAGCTAGGATTACAGGCAGGAGCCACTGGTGTGCCTGACTCTTTGCGGTATCTTTTATGACAAACTGGGATACATATTTCCCTGAGTGTCGTAAGCTACGTAAGAAAATGAATTAGGCCCAAGGAGGGGTGGTAAAAACCCAGACTTATAGCCAGTTGGTCAGAAGCAACCTGGCAAAACAACCTGGGGCTTAGGACTGGCACCCAAAGTGTGTGTGTGTGTGTGTGTGTGTGTGTGTGTGTGTGTGTGTCTGTCTTGGGTCTGAGCCCTCAACCTGTGAGATTGAACACTATCTTTAGGCAGGTAGTTTGGGGGCAGGCTTGTAGGACACTCAGTGGCAGAACTGATTGCTTGCCTTTGTGGGGGAAAAACCTGTGCACACCTGCTGTCTGAACAATGTAGAAATAGTAGGAGAAACCCAGCCTGAGTGTGCTCCCCCAACACTGCGAAGTCACTTCTCAAGTTTTTTCAGTATTGTTTATTTTTTAGTGTGAATGTATTAATTGTAACAATAAAAACAAGAAGGCTAAATCTATAATAAATATAATATATATTCATTATATCTTTATATATAACCCAGCATAGATATGCTGGATTAAGTCACTGGTCGTTGGTATGTGTGTAACCTTCGGCCTCTCTCCCCTCTCCAGAGGTCAGGCAGTGGAGCTAAATATATAATAATATAAATATATATTATGGCTTGACCTGTGATGAACGAAGCCATTGGACCACTGCCCAGAAACCAGGGACCATGTCCACTAGCCTCGGCTCCAGGCTTGGTGTTCACTGTGGGATGAAGGTCCCTGAACCTGGCATGAGGAGCGCTTAGTATCCCTGATCCCCTAGAATGCGAAACCTTTATCTATACTTTTCATGCTGGCTCTTATTCAGAATACATTTGCAACGGATGTTATGAATCGATTTAAAAAAGAATTCTGATTCACTTTTATTTTTAAATATTCAAGCTGTGTTTAGTGGTTCTAGTTCAGCAATATCGTGAGTGGGAGCAAGAAACCCACAAGAACAGGCTTTAAATACTCCAGAGAGAACACGGTTTTCAGCATTAAACAAAGCAGTCAAGGTAAGTTTAAAAATATTGTTTCTTACTTGAAAAGAACGCCAGTGTCTCACGGTACACGCCGTTAGTTGTACAGGGCAAGTATTCTTCAAAAATTTATTTATAGAGACAGACAAGTTCAAATGCAACACTGCACAGAAAGGAAGAGAGAAGGTCAGAAGCCAGCGGCTGGAGAATCACACTTGAAGGTTACATTTCTTTATCGAGAACTAGCACCATTGCTTCAGAAATCACAGATTTAATTACGATGTTTTCAAATATAGAAAATCCCTTAGAAAGCTTATTTAACTATCTAGTAGCAAAGTGCTTCTAAAAATCTATTTAAAAAATCAGTTGGAATTTGCCATTTGAAACTGATGAAAAGGTTTAAAAATTGATCCAAATCTAGGGTTTGTCAAAAAGGAATGAGCCATCATTATTACTGGGAAAAGTACCTGAATTTAGTTTCTGGCCTGCTTTCAACCAGCCAGCAGATACAGTAAATAGAATAATTTCACCTAGAAATAAGAGCACATCTAAAACTGGTCTCAGAAAATATTTTCCTAGACTATAAAAATACTAAATACAAAAATTTCAGATATACAGCAAATAGACCACAACAGACAAATATATCAAACGTACTTATAACTATCCTGTACCACAATCGTCACCAACGTCAAGTGTTATTCTAACATTTGTCTGTGGTTCGCTCTCTTCGATGTTTACTTCCCCTCGAGTTCTGCTATCGTGTCAGGTACAGACCAAATTCTGTTTCTGGTGGAAGTTCCTGGAGGAACCACAGAATAAATCTTAGGACTGGTCCTCACAGAACTGTACTAGAGCCTGTTTTAAAAATCAGGGACTAGCAAATTGTTTACGGCCTATGAGCCAAAGTTGGCCACCACCTGTTTTGTTCGGACTGTGAACACAGCCACACTCACTTTTTTCCATGTGGCCTGTGGTTGCTCACGTTACTACAGCGGAGTTGAGTAGCTGTGACAGACACTGTGTGTGGCTTTTGAGTCTGCAGAGTCTAAAATATTTACCATCCATCCCTGTACAGAAAGAGTTTGCTAACTCCCATTTTAGGGCGGTACTGGGATTTGAACTCAGGGCCTCACATTTGCGAGGCAGGTGCTCTACCACTTGAGCCCCTCGGCCAGCCCTGCTAACCCCCAATCACTTTGGGAAATTTTTTCCACTGAACAAGAAAGGGCCAGGTCAAAAGTGTCCAAGACTAAGGAGATGTTGGCTGACGTGTGCTGGTTCCATGGCAGGCTAAAAGCATACAAATTTGGATTGGCAGCTTTGGGTACCGAAAGTGATTCTGGCATTCTAAGAACTGTCGGGCTGTAATAAGGTCCTTACTTTCCTCTGGGACCTGACCATTTTGTGCAGAGTAACTGATGGGTTTTCTCTTCACCCAGACCATCTGAGCCGCGATCACAGCCTTCAGCCTCTCCAAGTCCACTGGTACTTCCTCAGCGAAGAGACAGTGCCCCGAGCAGGGCAGAGGCTCTGTAGTGCCCAACCCCTAGGCCCCTTCCCTGTGACAAGCGTCATAATAATTAGTACTATTGCCATCAAGAGCCACAAACATGTCCCTTTTGACAAAGTGGACCAGATTCTCCAGGGGACACATGTGCTTGGGAGACCGCTTGTGGTGGTCCTGGCAAAAAGAGGTGTGGAATGTGAAGTCAACGCCATTGTACAGGATCCGGACGGAGTGTTCCCTGGGCTTTTCTCTGTCTTGCCAGAGTTCAAAGATCAGCCTGGCTGCAAACCGGGGGAACCTGGCTTCTGAAAGGCCCAAGGCGCTGAGAATTGGTGACAGAGTGACATCGTGAGCAGAGTAGAGTGTGAAGAGCTCACCTTTCTTGCCCTGGGCGGCGCGCTGCATCCGGTCTATGGTTTGGTTGAGGATGGGGTGGGCACCCAGGAGCGAGTACCCAAAATACAGTTTCTTCTCGCGCCTTTCCCTCTCGTCGTCCAGCTGGTGTGCCTTGATCACCTTGAAGTGCTCCATGTCGATGCAGCCGCTCCTGGTACAGGGGAAGCTGACATTGTGGCAGAAGTGGCAGAGCATGGAGTCGATAGGGTTGGCAGCGCGCAGCTGCTTGATGGGGATGTCCACGATCCTAGCCATGTCCCCGTACGTCCTGTCCAGGGGGCCATTCTTCAGCCGGAAGAGGTACTGCCGGCGCTGCTCCTTTTCCAGGTACTGGTTTCTCACCGGGCAGTAGCAGCTTCCAGAGCAGAAGAGGGCACTTGGCTGGTGTCTGAAGTAGATCCTCTTCCAGTCAAAATCTGGGAGGAAGCCATAGAGCAAAGCCAGCCCGCTCTGCAGGGTGCGGCTCTTCCCCGTGGTCTCCAAGTACAGCTGCTCTGTGGACCAGTTATGGGGCAGGAGTTTGTGTTTCTTTAGGTAGATGTCCCTCAGCAGCTGGCCATTCTGCAAGTGCTGTACGACTCCTGAAAGACAGGGGACACAGGCGTTCCTGACTACCATGAGCACCGCCAAAGGAACAGCGAGGGGAAGGACATCAGTGTAAGAGAGCACAATGGAGCCTGTCCCCACCATGGGAAGTCACAAGAACAGGTTCCCATCAACCTGCTGAGGGAGCCCCTCGGGGTGTCCGGGAAGGGCTGTGCAGAGTGGGGCACAGCCTCTGTAGGGAGCACAAGGACCAACTCCCCGTTTCCCCTCCACTGCCCAGCTCTGCTACCTCCTGGGATGTTGTGCCTGGTCCTGCAGGGCCTTCCAGGCTTATCCACAAGGGGGCACTCTTTGTGCGGTGGGGACCAATCTTCCAGGTATGGCAAAACATTGAAAAAAAGGCAAAGTGTGGGCCGGGATGTTTGTTACGTGCCTTTGGAATAAAAATGAGGGAAAAGCAAGAATGTGTACTCACACTTGCCTGCTCTCTGAATTCAGGAGCTTTGAGAGGGATGCACAGGAAACCAGTGTCAATGATTTCCTGGGGGTAATGGCGGGCACAGACGGGTGGAGGGAACACAGGTGGAAACAGGAAATCTTAAATTTACCATGGACGCCCATGGTGCAATAATAAATTACCTTTTAAACAAGTTGAAAATGCCTCACATTTCAGCAGGAGAAGGCAAACCAAAATCAAGCTCGGCCTCCAGCCTGCAGTAGGTGAGGAATGCCATTTTGGTTAGGGGTGTGAAGCACACACAGGTCCTATGACCAGTCATGTCATTTGTTCTGATGTCCAAAAGGTTTGGATGGTTTCATACCAAGACGAGGGCGACTTAGACAGAAAAAAGGCGAGACAGAGGGGAAATGTGTTGACCTGGGAAGGGGGTCTGCCCAGCCTCAAAGATGGAGGATGTGGGGTCCTGTTGTGGATAAACAGCTGTGAGGGCTGAGTGCCCACAGGCACCTGGGCTGGGTCAGGCCTCAGCATCTGACAAAATAGAGGCAACCTGCGAGTGCGGGCCGTGCAGAGCAGGTCTGGCTCCAGTTCACCCCTCGGCCTACCCTATGTCGTGTTAGACTAAATACAGTGAGGGTGGAGTGCTCACGGCGTGCCAGGCTTTTCTCATCCCAGAAGGTTACTGCCATTATCACCAGTTTTTCTTATGGTAAGAAACTAAGGCCCTCAGCCACTCAGTTAAACGGCGGAGCCACCTGGTCCCAATTTTGTGCTCTTTGTTCCTGCTCACAGGGCCTCTTCTACATTTTCACGCCAGAAATACGAGGGCTTCTTATCCCCTGCACACACCTCTCAGCCAGTGCCTGGCTCCATCCACCTTCTTCCTCTCCTAGGTGGTGAGTAATTTCTTCCTGACCCAGGTGCCCTGGAAGCTCTGTGACATTAGCTGCATTCCTGGAGGCCTGTCTCAGGCCAGCCCTGTGTGAGGCGCTCTGCACACGCTGACTTTACTGCCAGCTCTGCTGGGAAGAGATTGGGTGCCCTGTTTTGCAGGCCTGCGTTGATTCTCTAAGGCCTTTGTTCCACTGTTAGGACAGGGAGGACAGAGGCACTCCCCACACTCAGCCACTGCCAGGGCCTCCTGAGCGAAGTAGGCACAAATGAGGAGGAGGGGGACTAAGTGTGCCCGTTATAAGTGGTTATTATAACAGCTATGCAATTTTAATGACATTTCCAATAAAAGTGCCCGTTAAACAGAGAAGACGAGCAAATGGTATCGTAAAGTGATTTTTAATTAATACTAATTTAGAAAACGAAGTTGTTAATAGATCACTTGAGAAGAAAAGTCCAAAGAAGATTAGCTTCAGTGTGTGAACGCCTCCCCCATCAGGCCACCCTGACCCTCACCCAGAGCTGAAGGCTCTCCAAGGACCTCTGAGGAGTCTCTCTCAAGAATCTAGACCTGCAAGCTTGTCTCTGGGTGGAGTTAGGGCTGCCAATCCACTGACTGACACACAGCAAAAAGCCACAGAGAGGCAGGGATGAGACAGACTTTAATTCCTGGTTGCAGCCTCTGGAGGAGGCCTGGTTGCATTCTTGCCCTTGGAGTCTATGGTCACTTCTGACTGTCTACCACGACAGTCACTTTTTGCTTGAGTTCTTTTCTGTTCTCTAGGACAGCCTCACTAGCAGTTCTCAGTGTGGCACTGCCCTCGGGGAGATTAGGGGGCTGAGGTATCACAAAGACATGGGGAGTGGCATGCCTGTCACTGAATGGGGAGGGACCAGGGACCTCTCCACAGGACAGCTGTTCTCTGTCCCCATGAATTTTGAATGTGCCACAAGACAGTCCCACGTGAAAACGTATTTGAATACTTGCACGTAGAACCTCACTCTGGTTTCTTGTGTCTATAAACATAAAACCATTTTATCTTTTTCATTTTTTGAGACAGGTCTCAAATCCCAGACTGGCCTTGAACTCTCTGTGGAGCTTGCTTGTAACTTGCAATCCTCCTCCCTCACCTTTTCAAGTGCTGGGATCATAGGCTTTCGCCATGATGCCTAGCACCATGAAACCATTTTACAATAATGTTAACATCGACTGAGTTTCCAGAAGCCAATATAAATCAAGGGGTGCCTGTTCTTTGTTTTGATCAGAACCTGTCAGAAAACCCAGGAACTGACATGAGGTGTTGGAGTCACCCATCCCATATCCCTCTGTCACCTGCCCTTGTAGCTGTCCATTCTCCAGCACACATTTATGTGTCTTCCACATAGCTGGTACCATGACTGGGCTGTTTTTTGACATAGGGTCTCACTGACATTTTTTTTTGCCCAAATTGGCCTCCAACCTCAATTTTCCATCTCTACCTCCAGAGTAGCTGGGATTACAGGTGCGAGCCACTGTGCCTGGCTCCAAAAGGCTATTTTTGCAGATGTGTAATCAGATACTTTGGAGTCTCTGAGTTCTTCAAGATGCCAGTCTGCGTGCTTCTCTGAGTCTCGCGGCCCTTACCCAGGGAACCGGCTCCGAATGGAGGGGTGGGTGGGAGGGACAGTGGGTGGGTTGCAGTCACACATACCTGTCTGCGTGAGCTCTCCCATTTCACAGAGCGGGTGGTTGGGGTAGAGAGGCAGGGAGTTTAAGGGGCTTTCAAAGGAGGCTCCAGGTCCCTTTGCCATGTGGCTAACAAAAGCTTCCAGTTTGGGGTGGTAGGGTTTCCTGAAGAGACAACACAGAGGATTAGTGGTCAGAGGCCCCAGGTGCTCTGGCTTAATCATTTTCAGGTTCCAGTTTCATTGTGACCCCTGGACACACAGTGCCCTCTCTGTAAGGTCAGCTGTGCCCTTGACCTCTGCTGAACATGGCACCTGGAGATTCAACTTTGCCTGCAATCAGTCTGTCCCCTACCCTGACACCCTGGCTGGGGTGCTGGGAGGCCACCGATGCCCCCAGCAGTGATGCCGCCCCAGGCTGGAGTTGTTCTGAGTTCTCCCACCCCGTCCCTCCCCCTGCCCCCTCTTCCCTAATCTTGCAGATTCTTCTCCCTTCTGAGTCTCCATCTATCTCTCTCTCCTTTACCTTCACAGCCATTCCTTGGGTCCTGGCCTGGGGAGCTTTGGCCTGGGTGGCAGTGGCTCTCATTGTCCCCTGCATTTTAACCCTGCCCTCCCAGCCCACCCTCTCCATCAGAGGGATTGGCTGCAAATGCAAAGGCAGCTCCCACGTTTGGTCCTGTGCTTCTTGCACAGGGTATTTATGGTAAGTCCAGACATTATCTAAGTCACTAATATACAACTTTCCCCAAATAATGAAATGACCTATGAGTTTATACACATTTTCTCTGAATAATGAAATGACCTGTTCTTTGGATAATAAAATGGCTCAGAAATGTGTCTACATTTTCCAATTGAACAGAAGTTCACAACCAAACTGCACGTTCAATCAGCATGAAAAGAAGCAAAGATCAATTGATCGATTGTTCTATCGGCAAACCCCTGCTGCCTGAAAGCCCGATTAACTTTGGCAATACTTTAAAAACTGCTGCCAACGTGAATTTATTATCTTGCAAAAATGCAACACCAAAGAGAATCCATCTTTTAAAAAATATGCCTTTAAAAAATAACACGCAGTGTTAGAGAATCTAGTAAATTACTCTGGATGGCTGCAGAGAACTGTCTTTCCCTAAAATGAGAGAGTATTTTATTTTGCCCGAGGCTCAAGTACATAAATGTTTGTAAGCCAGGAAAGAAAATGTCCCCACCGACTGCGAGGCTGCCAGTGTGAATCACATCAGCAAAGGAAAACCTGGGACAGGCCCCAAGCATTCCGGTCCACGCCATTCTTTCAGGTTGGTAATTTTGTTATTTTAGGATCTGAGAAAAGCTTTGCTGCCATTTTTAGGAATGGATCTCACTGCTGAAGGTGTTTGCTGAGATGCCCCAGGTGGTCAGGGCGAGTGACGATGCGGGGACAGCTAATTGTAGTCAGTACAACTTTTAAGCAGGAAGAGTCATGGAAGAAAAGCTTAGAGAACAGATAACCAACGGCTGCATCTTTTTAATGAGAAGTGAGGACAAGGAAACCTGAGCCCTGGGACCTGCCCTGAATCCGAGCTACCAGGCCCTGCCTGTCCCCTCCCCGGCCTCATCGGAGCCCAGAGGCTACTTAACACCCGGTAGATGCCCCAAAACTGTGTGGAAACGCGTTCAGCTGTGAGGACCACCCTTGGATGCTTCCTGGAGACACCAGGCCTTCCCGAATCAGGCACAATGAGTTAACTTCCCAGAGTGTTTACTAAAATAGGCAGGTTTTTGGTGAAAATACAAAAAAAACCAAAGCAGTTAGGGTTAAGAGCGCTAATTATACACTGAAATCCCTTTTTTTCTTCCCGGGAACTCGGTTAGATCCCATTTCTGAGGTTCTGCAGGTTCGCTGGAACCACGTGACCAAGCGTCCACCAATGGAATGGAAGCACGCACGCCACTTCCGGGTTTGGCTCCACCCCCCAGCCCCGCCCAGCTCCCCATGTTCTTTTTCTTGGCCTTGGCCACCGGTTAGGCCTGGTGGCAGCTCAGGTCAAATATGCAGGCTTCCTGGACGACAGCAGGGGCAACAACTTGGAGGAACCTCCAGCCCTCTCTTGATTCTCAGACCTTCCACAAAGAAGAGAGAACTTCCCAGTTGTTTAAGGTGGAACTCTTGAGTCACTGTCACAACAGCCTAGGCTTACCCTAATTAGTACAGAAATGATTATTATCTTTGTCCTCATTGGAAATCTGCCTTCATATTGAAGAGAATAAAAAATATTACTATTGGAAGCCTTCAAATCATCCTGCCAGAGATTTTTTTTTTTGGTAGTACTGAGGTTTGAACTCACGGCCTACACCTTGAGCCACTCTACCAGCCCTTTTTTGTGATTTTTTTTTTTTTGAGATAGGGTCTTGGAAACTGTTTGCCCAGGTTGGCTTTGAACCAGGATCCTCCTGAACTCTGCCTCCTGAGTAGCTGGGATTATAGGCGGGAGCCACCTGCCCTGCTATGCCAGAGCTCTTGCTTACATTTTCATGTGCATTGTTCGTACCTAGGTATGACACAAAGCTGGAGACAGGACCCAAGGCCCATCTGCACACTCATGAGAGAAGCGTGCATCAGCCATGATCCCAGCCACCTCTGAGCTCTGCCCAGAGCACTAAGGTGGGCAGAGAAGAGTTCTGTGTAAAACCAGCAAGAGCTATCAGCAAACACAGCTCCAAAAAGCTCACCTGTCTGGAAACTGAAATGAACTCACGTCACACTTCACAAACTTACACCTGTTAAAGAAGATTTATTATTTCCAATGTCAACAAAATAAAATTCTAAAGAGAAGCCCAGGATACTTTTCTCAGTCTTTGGCCTCTGGACCTTTTTGCTTCTTTACGTGGGGTGACTGAGCACCCCATTTCCCTTGGCTCTTCAAAACCACTGTCCTGACTCCTTCCAGGGCTGCTACTTCATCTCCTGGGATCCTCTTTTGCCTCTGTGCCTGGTCCCTGTTGGGATTCCTCTAGGCTCGGTCCTCAGCCAACAGGTTCTGAGCCACACGTCCTCAGCTGCCGTCTATATGCTCGAGTCTCAGCTGAGTCTCTTGTCATCGGGGAAGTCAGTCCTCTGAGTCCCCTGCCCAGCAGTACTGTAACCTGAATGTTGAAGACGGCTCACAGGTAGTGCTAAACCTGAGCCACGACCTCCCTCCCTCATGTTTTCTGTGCTCTGGATCCGAGGGAGGGGCAGCACCATCAGTAGACACCCCATCAGAAACCTGGGCACAGACCCTTCTCACATTCCTGGCCACCCTGTCATGGGTCCTAGTGGTCCCACCTGACCTTCTCTAAGTTCTGCCCCCTCTGCCCCTGCTGTTGCTCTCTGAGTCCTGCCTCCATCACTTCTTCATTCAAGCATTTGTCATACTCCTCCATGTGCCAGGCTTGATCCTGGGCACTTGGGATGTAGCAGCAGTGCTCAAGAACAAATAAAATCCCTACCCTCATGAAGGGAGCTTACATTCTAGCCCAGGGAAACAAGAAGCAATCATTTTAACTAGCGTATTCTAAGCAGGCCTTATTAAGAAGGTGACCTTGAAGGAGGTGAGAAATCAGCCATAAAGCTCTCTGTAGGAAGCACCTTCTGTAGAGAGGAGATAGGCAGTGCAAAGGCCCTGAGGCAGGAGTGGCCTGAGTGCAGAAGGTAGAGCTGGGGGCACAGTGGCTGAAGTGGAGCACCTGAGGGTAAGCAAAGTGGCAGGAGGGGCCAGACAGGTAAGGGGATAAGGAAGAGCAAGAAGACTCTGGAGGCCATTTTTAGGACTCTGAGTGAAGCCTCCTCTGCATCACTACCGCCAAACAGCACACAGAGTCACCAGCTTCCAATCCACTCAGCATCATGGCTGTCAGAGGAAGTCCTCATTTCATCCCTTTGTGCCTGGAGCCTATACTCCCACCACAGTGTTTGATGATGACCTATTTTTCACTCTACACTCAAACCTGTGAAATGAACTTTGAGGACCCCAGTGTATCAAGCTGTCCAGCATCCCATGTAGTCCAGATTGGCCTCACCACTCACAGGACCATTTCTCATCAGCTGTACCTTACTTGCTTCTGGGGACCCCTTCAGCACCTTTCTCATGGCCTCCCTGACCTGCAGCCTCCTTCCCCTCCCCACCCCGAGCTGAGTCAGGCTGTCCCTCTTCTGCTTCATGTCCTCGGCTGTGGGACCAAAGCCACTTCTACTTCTTCTTCTATTTCCTTCTTTCTCTGCTGCCCATGCTGGCTGTTCACTGAGCACGAACCAGGCCCGGCTATCCTGGGATGTGTGGCTCCCTGAGTGCAGGACAGCTGCCTTCTGTGAGGCTTTAGACACCCTTCATTTCCTTTTCCCCCAGGCTGGCCACACACTGGTCCTCTTGTTCCCCGTGCACGCCTGATCTGCCAGGCCCAGGCCTCTTGCACTTGCTGCTCTCTACTTCTGGGATACTGTGCCCCTGGGCCTCCACGGGGCTGGCTCCTCCACTTCACTTATGTGTCTGCTCACGTGCCACCTCTTGACTCGTGAACCAGGCACCTGCGGCAGACAGCTCCTGGCACATGGAAGGAACATGAAACAAATTTGTTGAATAAATGCTGGACGAAAGGAATATTTCAACTAGCCGGGCATTCATGGAGAGGCAGCTTCCACTACGAGTCCTGGGAGGTGGTGCTGTGGACAGGACCTTGGAGGCAACGGACTTGGGGACACCTGACTCTGCTGACTGAGCTCACACTGCTCACCTGCCCGCCCAGACCTTCCCGGATCTGGGCTAGAGTAAAGCAGACCCCAGATATCCGGGGGTCTACGGTTCCAGGGAGGCCACCATTGAGGGAAAACCTGTGCACACTCAGGATGCGTGCAGTCCAGTTCTCTAAAATCACTCAAATTTCCCCAAACCACATGAAAGAAGGTCTGACCATTAACCTGAAACCGCGTGGAGTAGGGTACGTTATTGTCACAAAAATTAACGCTGGTCACCAGAAACTAGATCTTATTTCATGCTGTTTACCTTGAACACTGAAGATGCTTGATTCATTTTTCCCATACTGACACCATTAAAGACAAGCTGCCATTCAACAAATCTCGAATTGTCACTTCCATTAAGTACACTCACTTTTACCTTGCTTTGGGGGCACCATTTGCTTGTGGGGAGGCAGACTGTCGCCCAGTGAAGAAGGGCAGGGAACACTCAGCAGATCATGACACGACTTTAAACACAACTGATGACAAGGCAGGACTGACCCAGAGTGTCTCAGCTTCCACAGAGCTGCGTGGTGCACACAGGGGAATTTACAATTTTTGGTTTTGAAATTTCTTTTGAATCTTACAAAAACAAATCATTTTTTTGGACTGCGTTTGATCAAAACTGCACGTAAGGTGGTCTACCGCAGCGGGCGTCTTCTAGACCTTGCCACCTAGCAGGAGGTCACAAAATTAGTGATTTATGAGCTGAAGTAGCAGCTGGGAAGACAGCAAACACTGCTGTGAACCAAAATGCCACCATCCCAGGGCGGTTGGTGGCCCTCACAGCTGGTCCATGAACTGTGTTCCTACTCTTTTTCTAAATAATCATTTACAGTGACAAGCCAGCTCTTTCTGGCTTCCAGAGGGAACTAATTAAATGACATTAAGTAGAGTAAGTGCCCCTTATCTGCGGGGGGCACGTTCCAAGATGACCCTACACACCCATGGTAATGCTTAATCTGTAAGCGAGGCACAGTAAGAGACTAAAAGCAATAACCCAGAATAAAACGCAACATTTAGAGCCACACACCATACTCCAGTTATGTGAGTGTAGTCTCCGTTTATTTCTGGAATCTTCTATTTAATCTTCTTAGGCTGCTGGTAACCACAGATAACTGGTGACCACAGAAAACCACAGAAACCACGGAGAGAGAAATCTTGGATAATGGGGGAGCCACTGTAATTAAATTTCTTCCACAATGGATTTAAAATGGCTCCTACAAACAGAATGGTCACTCAAATAAAACTAGACCAAGGACAAGGAGAGAGGCAACCAGGGCAACTGGTCCTCAGAACTGAGCCTCTCAAATGGGATCTCCAAAAATGTCCCCATAGAAGATCTTACCATTATGGTGACAGCATGAAGGCTCTAGGACCTGGTCTGGCCTCATAGGGGAGAGGAGAAGAGGCTGTGCCCCAGTGGCCTCCAGGCTCCTTATGGCTTATTGGGCTCAGGGTGGACCAAGCACAGTGCTTGGTTCTGTCATCTTATGTAGACCTCACAGGGTGTCGTACTGTCCCTATGCAGAAGCTCTGAGAAAGGATTTGATTTGCTGTCAGATAGACTGCAAAGACTTCTGGGGCTTCTGAGGTCAAGGCTTAACTCTACCAGGAGGTGCACGACAGGGACACATCACAGACAGTCATGTCCTGTGGCTCTCACTGAGCCCCTGGATTCATTCTGCAAACCACGCAGCCCAGCAACTGCTATATGCCATGCTCTGTGCTGGGCCTGGTGACACAGGGAGCATCCAGGCTTTGAGGAGCCTGTCTGGGAAGGGCAGAGACAAGCCTGATGGGAAGACAGCCTCATGGTGCAATGTGTACCAGGGAGCACTTTGAACTGAGCTGGTTAAGTTCTCCCTGCTGGGAATATGAAGCCCCTCTAGAGTCTGGGGAGCAGGCCCCAGGGGTGGCTTGTCCCTGAAGCCACCTGTGTTGGCCTGGCTCAGGGGCCCAGTGAGCTGTTCAAAGGACTGATGTCCAGCGGTGGGCAATGGCAGAACTGTGTCAGCTGGGAACATACTGAAAGCCTTTTGTGCCACTTCTCTGAGCTGCCCTCTCCCACCCATAAGCTCCAGCTGTCCCCAGGGTCCAGAAACAAAGGGGTTAACACCCAGTACTATAAGAAGCCTCCACAGTTCCACCCCTAAGGCCAGCCGAGGCTGGGTTTTAAATACAGTGACTCTGATCTTGCTACTTCTGACACCCTTCCCATATACCTCCCTAACCCCCCCTTTGCAGTGGGTATTAGGCATTGTCAGGCCCAATACAGTCACAGAGCCACCCTAGTGTACCAGGAAGGCTTCCTGGAGGAGGGAGCTATAGAGGGGATCAAACAGAGATGGGGGACAGGGAGGCATGGCAGGTGCAAAGGCACAAAGGGTGGGTTCTGGCAAGAAGTGGGGTACTGGGGAGCAATGGATCTCAGTGATAATTTTAGAAAGGGATCAGCCTGGAGGGAGGGGATGTGTCCATGGGGTCCTCTGACATGGGCTGGACTCAGCTTAGGCATTTTCCAACCACAAGACCCTCAAGAAAGAAGACACAAATTCCCCCAGCTGCCCGCTTTGATGTCCAGCATGTGAGAGAGAGAGTCAGAGAGAGAGAGAGAGAGCATGAAAGCCTTGTGACATTTGTACATAAAATGAGAAGGCCTGAGTGAGATGCATGAGTCTGAAACTCCAGACCATCCCAGAACAGCCTGGGGTGCCCTGAGGAAATCCTTGGTTCTGCCAGGCTGGCCCTGCCCAGGCGGGCTGGCACTCCAGGAACATTCCATCAAAGTGACATTGTCCCCCTGAGTGCCTTCCTGCATCTCCTGACCTCATCCAGCAATCTCCATGAGGGATTCCAGGCTGGCTGAGGCTGGGCCCATCATTTTATTGCTAACTGAGCTTCTAAATGACTGTGCCATTTCTATACACGCAATTTCCACACTCTGCTCCGTTATTTTTTATCCTAAAGGTTCTCAACCACGACCAGGTCTCTACTGCTGTGAACAATTAAACGGTTGAGATACTATTTTACAGTCACAGAGCTTTGCAGTTGCAAACACACCCTCCCCGGAATCATCTCACTTACTCCTCACCCCAGTCCTGTGTGGTGAGCACTGGAACCCCCATTTCCGGGGGAGGGGGTTAATGAGGGGGAGGGAGCTCAGAGAGACCCAGGAACCTGTCTGTTGCCCCTATGATCAGCTGAGCTTGGGTTACTAAAGTGCTCACTGTCGCATGCCCTGGTGTTCTCAAGCTGAAGAACAGCGGGGTGGGAGAATGGGCTTCATACAGTCCTGGGCTCCAGCGTTAGTGTGGCTGCTGTGTTACTTGGAGCAGATGTCCCCACCTCTGTGGGTCAGGGGACGATGGTCTCTGATGCCAGACTGAGAAGGACCTGATAGTTGGGCTCCTCCAAACAGTGTGCTCGCCAGTAGCTTGTACAGGACATGGCAGATTCCTGAAAAGGACTTTTAAGGAAAAGTGCAATTTACCTGTTAGCCACCAGAGTACAGTCAACTTCTGGCCGCTTTGTTTTGGGAATGGTGTACAGCGGGTACCTGTCTCCGTGGCGGATGAACACGTGCACAGAGACCAGCTTAAAGTGATGGGGGGCGTGACCTGAGGGAGAGAAGCACACCAGTGGTCATCATCGCTAGCCTAAGTATTTTAGAAGGGGTTGGGGGAGTGGGGTGGGGGGACCTGGTTGTGCCCTTGCTGGGAATCATAGGAGCAGGTCATGATGGCCACCACAGGCTGCAAGGAGTCTAAGCTGTGGGAATGGCTGTTATGCTGGGTGAGGCCCCAGCCAAAGAGCCCCAAGGTGGGACAGAGGCACAGGAGAGGGCTGGGTATATCCCAGGTGTCCTGGAAGTACCAGGGAGGTTTGTGGGCTATGGCTGGAGGCTGAAAACCAGTGAGATACGGGGGTGACTTCTAACGTGGCCTCTCTTATGTGCCAGACAGGGGGATGCCCGCAGAAATCCTGGTTACAATGACTTTCATTTTAAATCCTTCCTGGAACGTGGCAGGGCATAAATAGATCAAGATTGCACACCATTCATGGTCAGAAAAAGCAAAATTTGATGGAGCAAGGGAATGTCGCTAGCCCCCAGAGGCATGGAGTCCCAGGCTCCAAGGGCCAAGAGGGGCAGCACAGTGAGGCCTACCTTCCATGCTGCGCTCGGCCATACTTGGGATGTTGCAATACAGAAGCGCTTCATAGACTGGGTCCGTCACAGGGGGCTCCGTCACCGGGTTGGGCATGAGTCGCTTGCGACTCTTGCTGCTCACTCCATCCTTAGCTGCTGACACGGGGATCAGGTGGACTGCAGGACAGCAGAGGTCAGGACAATGCAGTCACTGAGGTGCCAGGCCTTGCTCAGCAAAGCAAAGGGGGCTGAGTGCCACTGCCAGTAACTGTTCCTGCCTTCAGAGTCAGGAGGACCTCCACGTGGCAAGTTAGCGTCCCACTCGAGAAGTGTGGCCTGTGTGGCTCATGCGGTAAAGTGATTGCCTTTAAGCCCAAAGCCCTGAGTTCAAACTCCAGTACTGCCCCACTGTGCTCCACCGCTTCTCTCTTCTCACTGAGCCACCTAGGGGTCTCCCAGAGACACTGGCCCCCAGGGACAGTGAAGGGAGAACACGCTAACTTTCTGTAATCCTGTTACCTCGTCGTCACAAGGACGAGCAGGAAAACCATCATCCATTGAATGCCTGCTAAATGCTAGTCATGGGTTTCTTACACACCTCACTTAATGTCATCGAACCGTGCCTGACCACAGGCATTTGCTCCTCGTCCTCATGAGACCACTTCACAGGAGAGCCAAGGTCCAAGACGCACACCTGTGGTGGACTGAATCCTGGCTCCTGCTCACCCCTCCACCCCAGGCCAGCTCTTCCCACTACTGTCTCCTGGTGTCCACTGCGGGTCTTGCGATCAGTTACCCCTCTTTTTGCCACGGAGCCCCCCTTCATGAGGCAATTCACAGTGTCTCTGCCCTCTGGCAGGGTGACATGTGACCAGCATCAATGAGGACAGCGATGGGTGGATACATTTTCTTTTCCTTGTGAGCCGTAATAAGCAGACCCTAGCAGAGGCTCTCTTTGTTCTTCTGGCGCTAGCTTGCAAGGATGGCACCTTGGGGCTGCCCCAACCATCTGTCCCTCCATGGGCAGCCATCTGTCCCTCCACGGGCAGCTTCTGTCTCAGGGGTCCCCAATCTTTCCACACTTGGGGACTGTCTTTGTAGATCAGATTTTCTAGAACTCCCTGTCCAATAACAATCACACTTTCAACATCCACCTATTGAAGAAAATGCAGGCAAATAAGTGTGACCATGGACCTGCTCAACTTCTGGAAGGTTTTTAAATCACTATCGTGTATGCACACATCCGAGCAATAGCTAAAGCAGCAAGCAAATGCTAGTCTAAATCAGCTTAAATTCCCTCAACTCATCTGTGTAAATATTTAAAGCCTCCCTTTAGCAAACAGATGCCATAAACAAGAATAAAAGACAATCATACACCCAGAGAAAACTATTTGTAACATGTATACCAGAGAAATGGTTAATACCCAAACTACACAAGAGCCCATAATTGAAAATTTCATTAAGGGATATGAACAGGCTTAATTACAGAAAAATAAATGCCAGTGGTCAAAAACATACAAAAATATGCTCAAATTTACTGTAACTAAAGAAATACAAAATAAAACAACTAATAGTGCTAAGGATGGCGGTGCATGTCTGTAATCCCAGCACTTGGGAGGCTGAAACAGAGGATTTTGAGCTGAAGGCCTGCCTGGGCTATACAGTGAGACTCTGTTTCAAAAAGCAAAACAAACAAATGAACAAAAAAACTCTAACCAACTAACCAACCAAATCATAAACAATGCAAACCAAAAAACGCAAACAACGGAAACCAAAGCAAAAAACCAAACAACCAATGGGGTATCATTTTCCCCCTGACCAGACTGGAAGATCAAGTCTGAATGATAACATGTAATTTGCCAAGGATCGAGAAACCTGACCCTTCCACTCACTGGTTGAGGTGAGAGGGGACAGCAGGAACGAGTGGCATGAGTTTCCTATGGTTGTGTCCCCCATCTCACTACTTAACCTTAGAGTCTAGCCCAAAATGTCACCCAGTCCCCCAGAGATGCATAGCCAAGGAGAGTCACTGTAGTGCTGTGTGAAATAACAACAACAACAAAAAATCCAGAAGAGAATGAGACATCCATGCTGTGGAATATTCTACCCCAGCAAAAAAGAATGGAAAAAGTCCAAAGACAAATTAAAGGAAGGGAATGAACCAAGTCACCAGGCACTGATATGACCCTCTTTGTGTGAAGGAAAAACAATCACTTGCCAGTCTGCCAATACACAGCAATGTGCTGTGTTGAGGAGACGTCAGAATGTCACAGTTTTCTCTGGGGATGGAGGGAATGGTGTGAATGAGTGCTTTTTTTTTTTATTTTTCATTTTTATTCATTTACTTTTTTGTGGTACTGGGGTTTGAACTCAGAGCCTCATGCTTGCTCGGCAGGTGCTCTACCATTTGAGCCACTCCCCCCGCCCTACATCACTTTGGTTATTTTTTAGAGGTGTCTTGCCAGCCTGGACTGAGGCCCTCCTACCCATGGCCTCCTGTGTAGCTGAGATGACAGCCCCATGCCACAGCTTTTTTTGTTGAGATGAAGTCTCTCCAACTTTTTTGCCTGAGCTGGCCTTAAACCATGATCCTCCTAATCTCCACCTTCTGAGTAGCTGCAATTACAGTCGTGAGCCACCTCGCCTTTATTTGTTTTTCTATAAATGTCTATATTGGTTTCAAAACCCACCACATGGTATGCACATATATTTATAGTAGGCACATGTGACACGTATCCTATGTATAGAGAAATGCACACACATTTCCATGTTAGGGACTCCATGGGTTCCTGACGTCCCTGGCTTATCTGCAAGCACATGGGTGAGGCTTCACTTGGGAACCAAGTAGTTGGGTCGGAATGACCACACACGGACTCAGGAAGCTGTGGTTTGAAGCCATAGATGAAGTTGGGTGTAAGGACCAGAATGAGACCTTCTGCCCAGAAAGACCTTATCTGCTCCTTCCTCTGGCACGTGGGCGCTCAGCCTTGCCCATTAGTTCAGCTTGCTGAGATGGCCCTGTGCTGTTTGTGCCTCCCCGAGTCACCAGGATGCAGTGCCAGTCCATCCCAGGCATGTCTGAGGCATGGGGCAGGGTGAGACATTTCCCCAGCTGACCGCGACCCCATCCCATTGTTCTGAGCTGCTCAGAGCCCCCACCTACCATGCTTCTCACCCACATTCTTCTGGTAGCTTGCAACTATTCTCTGTGCCCCCAAACTGACTGAGTCTACAAATGATCCTAGGAGTCACCTCCTCCAGGAAGGCCATCCTGAATCTCCAGATTTCCACACCACTCTCCTCTGAGCCGCCTAGTTCCTGCTGCTGTAAAGCTCACACTACACACAGTATATCTGAGCAGGGGTATTCTAGTTTGTCACCTGGAGGGCTGAGGTCAGGCCTCATTCGTGCTTATATTCCCTATCTGCTGTCAGGGGACAGGCGTTCCAAAAACGCTTGCTGAACTGCAGGCCTGCTCTGAACTGAGCCCTGTGCTCTGTGCGTTTAAGAACTGTCTCATAGTTTCCTCACTGCAAGCACAAGGATGAGGGTGACTTAAGCAGCCTGGAGGCGGGGATAGGGCGAGGCAGGTTTCCTAAGGAAGAAGTTGAGCTGTGCCTGAAAGGCTGGCCCGCAGCTGGCTGTGTGGAGACAAAGAGTGGGTTGTGGAACATGGACAACACGGGGGGCTACGGGCTGGCTCAAGATGCTCAGACCCCCAGGGGACCTGGTCCACTGCATCCCCAAAGGCTGACACACAGGTAGCCCTCTGCGGGGATCTGGAGTCGGGAGGCGCCTGGAAGAGCAGGTCCCACCCGCTGCCTTGGACCTGGCACTGTGCCACCTGCGCACAAGCTGGTCTTGCTCAGCTGGACAAAGGGGCTGAGGCTCCAGGCTATGGCATAAGGGACTTCTGGGGCCTGGGGTTCCAGGAGGCTGTTGTCCTGCAGGCCTTGCCCAGTCCCTAACAACTACAGTTGCCCCTGGACAATTGGAAACTCTGCTGTTCCCAGGAGATGACAGCAGCTCATGTCACCAGACAAGAGAAAGAGACGGTGAGGGCATTGCTAGACGAAAGTGGGTGGACAGACAGATGGAAGGATCAGGAGTTCCATTGTATATGAGTGACCAGCATGAATGACAGTAAGGGACAATGTTGACGGACATCCAACTGTGCCAATGGGCACACACTTTCTCTACCAAGTAGAAGGGAAGATTCCCATCAGCCACCTCATCTCCTCCGTCACTTTCATTCCATCCCTGTGTCTATAAAGATGCTGACGGTTTCAATGAAATGGCAGAGGACAGTTTCCTCTCAGGCTTCTTCTTGGCCTCCTCACTCTCAGAAGCAACCAATAAACTTCTTAGAATCATGACTGTAACACCCAGACTCTGCACCATGTAGGCCCTTCCCCACCTTTCTCCACCTCACCCACTGAATGCAGAGTGCGTCTGTGGTCATCATTCACAGACAGTCCCATGCCTGTGACTAGGACACAAGCTACATTGACTCTGCTTCTTCCAGCTCTGGTCCTCATCCTACACAGCACACCTTCAATAGAGGCAGGTCATCAGGCTTCCTGAGTCCTGCAGCCTGTAAGCCCAGGCCTGTTAACTCCTCAGGCTGGTGTCTATGCATCCATCCACCCATCCGTCTGTCCGTCCGTCCATCCATGCATCTATCCATCTGCCCACCATTCATTATTAAGTAAGACAGGGGAAAGGGAGCAGACAAGTGGTAGAAAACTTGCCTAGCAAGTGTGAGGCCCTGAGTTCATCTCCAGTACTGAAAAAAAACAAATGACAACAACAAAAGTGGAGCAGAAAACACTTAACCCTTCAGGGAGAGGTGGCCTCCCTGAGCTGTGTTGTCTCCTGTACTCCCTGGGCACTGGTTTGTGGGTACAGGAATGGTGTGATGAAGACTTAGAGGAAATGTTAAGTCACCGTGAGTGATCAGTGACAGCCTCAGGCAAAAGATGACATAATTGAAAAAGTCTTAGCCTGGCAGCAAACACTATGAAATTGTCTGGAGGAGAGGTTTCATCTAAGGACAAATTCCTTATTTTAATTCTTATCTATTGCATTGGTGGTCCCCACAGAATAGAAGAGAGGGCCTCCGAGTCAAGGCCAGATGGCAACTTTTAGGATGTCAGCAGGTATGTGACAGACAGGTA